AGTCTTATGTAAAAACGGCTGCAAACAGAGGTGCAACTCTATAACTGTAGATCATGGAAAAGCAGAAGTGGCGCCTCCTGTGCAACCAACAAGAATGCAGGCTTGGTTTCTGGATGGTGAAAGCGAAAGAAAAACATTTGTGTTTTCCAGCAGCCATTGTACAGCGCATACAACTCTAAAACCCAGCTGACCAAACGTGCTGGAGCTGTTTTGGTTGCTACGTAACAGGACGGGCTTGGCTTGGGTTACTATGTGATGACTTTGGCAAGGATTTTGAAACTGTTCATTTTCCAGACACCCAATTAGCCTGCTTAACAAAATTATTGGGTGTTTTTTGTTTGTTTGTTTTTAGACGCAGTAGAAAACCAGAGGGAAGTACAAAAAAATTAAAAACGTAAATTTTGCATAATAGTTACCCTTTAACTTAGCAGCTCAATGAAAACCATCTAGACTACAATAAAGTTAGAAAGAAAATGCATTTAAGCTGAATATCTTTCCCTGCATATTATGCCAACAGCTCAGTAAAGCATATTGCAATAAAAACAACGTAACGCTGAGGTTTTGTAATGGTTCTTACCCAGATTTTTCTTTTTAAAGTCCTGATTGCTGTTCCTGAACTTTGTCCAATTCTTCTGGGTGAGTAATGTTTGGGAATACCTTGGGGATGTTTAGAGATAAAAGCTCGTCGCTCCCTGATAAAACACCAAGACTCTTGTTCAATAACTTCTTTAAAGAGGCTATTTACAAGAAGGAGTTGACTGTGGATTTGCATTTGCTGGCTTTAGTTGTTGCAGTGCCACCCTTAAACTTTCTCACCTCTGATTTCAAATAAAAAGGAATAAGGGTTAATTAATTCCTTTGTTCTGACCAATTTTGAACATCAACCATTGATTAGATCCAGTGTTTCAGAGTGTCTTTATTACTCTTATGCTTTGGAGTAATCTTTCTTACTGTAGATGAATTAACATAAAGTTGATCTATTTCTCAAAATTCACATTTTGCACATTTCCACGGCCCATAGACCTTGCATGGTATTTAAGCTGATAAATTCATTTGTAGACCTGCTGCAATAAATCAATTAATTGCACGATAAACTAAAATGAGTTTCCACTTGCATAATTTATCATTTTTCTCTCTTTTTTTTTTTTGTTAACCAAAAACTGAATGACGAAAGTCTTCTGTCTTTTTGTTTTGAAGGACAGTTTTGCTTCCAGAGACTTTATAATTCATTTTATTTGCTGTTTCTGTTACTTATTTTTGAATATTTAAAGTGTCTTTGAGTTCTGGTTTTAAATGTCCAATAAAGTTCAAAGTTTGTGGATCTTTGAGAATGTGTTACTTGAAAATTGTCTCAAAACATCAATATTGTCGTTTATCGCAATAACTTCTGGAGCAATTTATTGTCCAGAAAAAATTATTACAATTGATGGATAAAATAATCATTAGTTGCATCCCTAGAGAGTAATAATCCAGCTTTTCTTTATTTGTGTAGCTTTGTAGATTTGCCAGCTCATGATCTGTTATTTCAGTTCACTGTTTTCACACTAAGTAATAATAGAAAAACGAAAGGATGCTGGGGCTTATTGTTGCATAATATTGAGCTGCTACACCATCACTGACTTTATTTGCTCGACTGGCAGCAGGAAATTGAGTCTGTGTTGCGGCGTTTTCATACACGTTTGTCCAGGTTTGTTTCTGACACATTCAGAAAATAAATATAGCAATAGTTGAGGTGTGAAATTGTCCAATATTTGTCAGAGAAGGAATGTAAACAAAAACCTGATTCACATCAAAATGTGACTTTGATGCAAAGCATAAAAGCCTTCCTGCAAGGGAAATGGAAAAAATATTCTAATAAAATTACAAAATGTAGTTATACTTAATTTACATGCTAAAACAATTTTATCTTTGTTTTAGCATGTCTTTTTTTCCACATCTACCTAAAATATCTGTGATACTAGTTTACGTAAAACAAGGAGTATTACAGAAAAGGAAAATAATAATAATAATAATCAGAAAATAGCTGTCAGAATTAGTTTCCCAACCTGCATATGTCAAACAATTCAAGTTTAATTGTGACAACAGGTGGTTATGTTCTGTGTTTTTCATTTTGTCCTAAATTTATGATGACATTTTAGGGTCATAAAAGGAAAGAAAAAGGGATAACATTCTGAGAAATAATACCTCAGAAATATTGAGATTGATCTAAAAAAAATTTAGCTTTAGAGGTTGAAAAATTGGAATAAAATTATCAGAAATTCAGATTTTTCTGTCAGAAATTTTCTAGAAAATGTCTGCAATTTTTGAGTCTGAAAATTTGCTGGAAAAAAACTGAAATTCTGTGATTGATTTAGAAAAAACTCTAGAAACAAACAGAAATGTTTGAGTCTGAAAAATCTTACATTTGCATGAGAAAAATGTGAAATTCTGTGATTTGGAAAAAACTAGAAAAAAACTGAAATTTGAGTTTTTTCTCAGTAAAATTTCAGAAATTTCAAGATTTCTGAAATTTTTGTTCTTGTTTGTTCTCGTCATTTTGCAAATCAACATCCATGTTTGTCAGTCAGTTATGAGTTTTGAATCGACTAATTGGTGAATTTTTTTTTTTTTTTAATTGTGAAACTCCAAATAAAGCAGTTTTGATGCTTTGGACCACATTAAGGGGGGAGAGAGGCAGATGCAGTACCTTGTTCTACACATTGGAGGCGGCATTGTCCCTGGAAATGAGGATGGATTCAGGAGAAACGAGGGTATCGGTGTGATAGGTCCCCATCGGCAGAGCCGTGCTTCAGTGGTTGCTCTCTCTCACCTCTCCCCCTTCCTCTCTCTCTCTCTGTCTCTTTTCCTCTGTGCGTCGCCGCCACTCGTTTTGCCGCGCTCCTCTTTCTGCTCCATCTCTGTGCAGACAGCAATGAGTGCGGATTCCATTCACAGCCCATCCGGCGGCGCCTTGATTGGGCCAACGGGGACACAGTTGAGGACCTGAGGGACTGAACACCTCTGGAAGGAGTCGGGTTGGAAATTCCAACTGGATCGCGTTTCTTCCACTGGAGATTATTTTTGCATCACAAAAAAAAAAAGAAAGGAAAAAAAAATCTTGGCACTCTGAGTCGGCTGCACAAGAGGTGCCATTCACAGCGGTAATTTGAGTGATTGTGAGTTCACTCACCTTTTCAGCATGCAGATTCGTCCGATTCTTTTCTGATGCAAATGTAAAGCAGGCTGGTTGCAGCCGGTCGCTCTAATTCAGCTTGGCATGATCATAACGAAACGCTCGGTGAATTGGTGTGGAGTTCATGCATGCTGCTGCTCACACGCATTTGTGTTCCTTGGAAAAAAAGAAGAAAAAAGCAGAAAATGTTAAATTATTCATGTCTTAAGGATGACAGACAACTTCCAAACTAGGTTATTTCCACCTCCTGTCTGAGGCTGGTCGCAGTGCGTTGCATGTTTGTCATGTATGCACTCCAACGTGTCAGGCTTTATGTTTGCAGACTGCTGATTCTGGATGTTGAAGGTTAGACGGTTCAACATTTCCACCCGTCTTTCCATCCGTTATGGTTAAAAATGAGGCTGTGACAGGTGTGAGGCTTCCCTTTGAGACTGATTTGTTGTGAGGGTAAAAGAATGCGATGACCGCGTTATTGCACCTCAGTTTCTACATCAGTCCCTTCACCGTCTGCCCCACTGAGGCAGCAGGATCTACTGGTTTTAAGTGGGAGTCCATTCACAGAACTGGACGGGTAAATGGGGGGCGTGAAGCGGGAAAGAGGGGAATCCGTGGGTGATTTACATGTGAACCAGCTGGTGGTACAATTAACACCTGGATGAATGTGGAGGGATGATGGATTTCACTGGTTTTACTGAAACATTTCAGATTACTGGGCTTTCACTGGATTTCCTGCGAAGCTCCAAATGGCAGATTGGTGAAGATGTGTTTCGAGAAATGGAAATGGAAGAAAATTCTGACCTTAAACTCAGAATTTACTTTATTTTCTAAGAATTTAGGTTTTTTTTCTCAGAATTTTTGACTTTTTCTTAAAAGAAATTCTGACTTTTTTTCTCAAAATTCCAACTTACAAATCTGGCTTTACTCTCAAAATTCAGATTTTTTTTTTGTTCCCACAAATTCTGACTCTTTATTTCTTAAAAGTATGACTTTAACTCAGAAATCGTTCTATTCTCTCAAAATTCTGACATTTTTTCTCCAAATTTTGACTTTTATACTACAGAATTCACACTTTAATCTGAGATATCTGGTTTTAATCTGAAAATTCTAACTAATCTCAGAATTTTCACATTTATACAAATTTATACTTTTTTCTCCACAATTTGTCTTTAATCTCAATATTCTGATGTTTTTCTCCCGTCAAAATTCCAACTTTAATCTAAGAAATCTAGCTTTTCTCTCAAAATTTTGGCTTTTTTCTCAATTCTGACTTTTTTTTTTCTCAAATTTTTAGTGTTAAGGTGGAAATTCTGAATTTTCTCTCAAAATGTTTTTCTTTATCTTTTTTTTAAATCAAAAATCTGGTTTTATTCTCAAAATTCTGACTTTTTTTTCTCAGAATTCTGACATTTCTCCTCTAAATTTGAACTTTTGTGTCAATCTGTATTAAAATCCAAATGAATTACCAAAACTTCTTCGGCTTATGTCCTTTATGTAATTACTATATGAAAATAATCGCATAACTGTCGTAGGATTTATAAACCAGCTGTTACTGTATTTCTAAAAAAGTTTAAGAAATTAAATAGAATTTCATCTGATTAATCATCAGAATAGTAATCAATTACTGAAACAATTGTTATTGTTAGTGACTCGCAATAACAATTGTTCGTTATTTCAATTACTGAAATAATTGTTAGTCCTGAGGTGATGTATTGAGCGATTTCTGGTTGTTGGTTTTACACCATTTTCCAACCACATACTGGCGTAATATCTGACACGATCCTTTGATGTCATTGTTCTGGTTCTCATGGCCGACATGTTTTGCTTCCAGGAGGTGTGATCGATAAGGACCTCCGCCGGTACCTCAACCTGCGCTTCCAGAAAGGTTCAGTGGATCACGAGCTGCAGCAGATCATCCGGGACAACCTGTACCTCCGGACCGTCCCCTGTGAGTCGCCACGTTCGACTTTCATTCAGACAAACGTTTTGTTTTGCTACGGCTGCATTATCTGGTGTTGATGGAAGCTGCTGGATATTTTGTTTGTGACTAAATGACAGATTCTGTCTTTGCTGGACGTTCATGGTGGTTCTGAATATCAACACCAGTTAGGTCAAAAATAAATGCCTTAAAGTTTTATGTTTAATCTTGTGGAGATTCATGCTGGCTTGTTGCCTTCGAATAATAATAAACCCAAAATTTGTGGTGGGTAATTTTAGTCCATCTGCTAAATTGTTTGGGTTTAAGGTGTAATAGATCAAATGTTTGATTTCTGAAGATTTAAGTTTTGTAAAATGAGGATTTGAACCACTTGGGTTTTCGTAGTTCAGAGCGACGTCTTATTTGACAGGCTTCTGCTTATTTGGACTTCGATTGCAGGTCATCTCAGAAAATTAGAGCCAGGCTAAGATTTCTAACTGTTTTGATTCTCAGAATGAAGTCACAATATTATAAAAATAGTCGAGAATGAAGTCATGTGAAACAGCCATCAAAAGCAGCTTCAAGCAGGTGGGGTATAAGTTTTGATTTAAAACTTAAAGGAACTCAGTGTTTCGGCTAGTTTGCTGTTTTCTGGAAGTTTGTTCCAGTTTTGTGGCGCATAGAAGCTGAATGGTGCTTCTCTGAATGCTGTATTTTTGCACTGAGCTGTTCAGTGATTTATAAACTCACAGAAGTAAGCGGAGTTCCAGCACGTTTTCTTCAGCTGTTTTCACTAGTGAAAAGTTTTCTTCACTCACCATCAAGAAACAACTTGCTGCACTCTTGTTTGTTGAACAGGAGGCTCCACGCTTGCTTTTCAATGATGTATAGTCTTATAATTGTGCACCTGTTTGCAGTTATTTTCACGTGCAAGTATAAACGTTGAGTTGGAGGCGTAGCAAACATGTTTTATTTCGCCCATGGACCGATTCTAACCTGTTCAAGCTTAATATGTCACCTTTTAACCTGATGCGATGTGCTCCATCTTCCTGGTTGTAGTGAGAACTGGAGCATTATGAGTCAGCTGTAGCTTTCTGGTTGACTTTTTAGGCAACCAGATTGATCAGTTAATCAATTCAACTAACAATAGACACATGGATGATTTTCTCTAGACCTTGAGACATTAGTCCTTTAAATCTAGGAATGTTCTTCAGGTGATAGAAGGCTGACTTTGTAACAGTCTTTATGTGTCTCTGGATGCTCAGGTCCATCGTTACATCCAGATTTCAAACTAGATCACTAGTTTTTAGTTATTGAGCTGTTTTCTTCTCTAAAATATAGCAAAACACATGTTGTTTCCTTTTAATTTTGCATCAATCATAAAGACAAGTTCCAGAAAATGGACTGGGACAAAGTGCCTCTGTCAAAGTGATAAAGAAATTGCCACATTTAAGACCACTGAGTGATAAATAACAGGAAGAAAAGGGACAAGAAAGAAGAAATTCTGTGTGATGGATGTGAAGCAGTTCATCACAGCAATTTAAACATAACCTTTGAGTGGTAAAGAAAAGACATTTTTCTCGGATGCGCAGACAGTGGGAGAGTTACTGCTCCTCATACCAATCGTGACGCTCGGACCGAGCCGGGTTGGGCCTGCTAAGGCCGTGCCAGCTCTTAGACAAATTGCCTGGTTGAAATCCAAGGTCAGAGCGTTAATAGTCGGAGCCCTGCGAAATCAGCCCCATCGTCTGGTAATCCACACAGATTTGATAGTGGAGATAAAGATACCAAAGATCACAGCACACACCGAGTAACGTGGGTAGATCTGAACCGGGAGGAAACGGCCAATTAATGACAGATTTTTATCAGCTAATTTAAAAAAAGCTCACAAGCAAGTGGCCCATTTTTGAAAAGCGTCTCGTTTTCCCACAAACAAAATGTGCTCTGAGTGTTTTTTTTGCAGAAATAATAATAATAATAATAATTTAAAAACAGCATGAATGTTATCTGGATTTTATGGCTCATTTGCTAAAAGCTAAGCTCTCTTGAGCACTCAGCGTCTTTGAGTCACTTTTTCATTCACATTAACCATCTTACCATTCCCACCCTGCGCCTCACCTTCCTGCTTAGTGGACACAGAGCAGCTCTAAGTGGAGCAAGGACATCTTTTAAAAAATAATGCAACACCTCTTTGCTTTTTTACCCAACTTTGACCTTCTGATGATCCGCTCTGCTCTAACTTTTGCTGTTCTCAAGGTCAGATCATGCTTATATCATGTCGAAAATGTTGCTAACGAATCTTGTAAAACTGATTCTGAGCTAAGATTTTGACAGATTTGTGGTCCAAGTAAAGCACTTTCAAGGTCACTTTCCAACTTTTGTACTTTTGTTTTATTAATAAAAAAGAAAAAGAAGATACCTGAGTAATTAAATGAACCGATTTTGCTTAAAATGGTTAGAAATATTAGAATTTAACTGGTCTTGTTCGTTTAAAATATTTAAGTGTCTTTTATCTGATAGTTATCAGAATCTGTTCTAATAATAAAATCAAAACTGATGTTTGGCAACATAAAGTCTTTAGCTGCCCGCTGGCTGTCATTGGCTCCTCTGTGTCCTTACTGTATCACATGTCTGGGCTCCAGTTTAACGGCCCTCTCTGATAGATGACAGCGTTAATCAGGATAATAAATAGAGTAAGAGCTCTCTGCTGCCCTACAATTTGTCATGTAGCATCTCTGTGATGGAGCCAATAAATGTTACCGGGGTGAACTTTAATAGGAGGTGATGTGGACCAAAGAAGCAGGCAGCAAAGCAGGTGCATTTAAATTTATCTTAACGCCACAACAGAAGGGATGGAAAAAATGTGTTTATGTTGTTGTATGTAGCAGCGTGACTCTCCCCTCCCTCACCTGTTGCTGAGCTGTCAGTCAGATGCTTGTGAAGGATGAAAGAGAGGAAAGTCATGTAAGTGTTGACTAGAGCTGCAAAGCCCTTATTAGAGGCAAGTAAGACACATTCAACGTTTCTTAAAACTTATTTTTCCCCTTCTTGACCCCATCAAAACTTGATTTTTAAATTGTAAGCAATTTTATTGTTAGGATCCATTCACACCAAATTTATTTGTTTGGATTAAACAAACTACATCTGTTTGGTCCAAGTCTAGCTTGTGAGTCTGGTTTGTTAGGGGGAAATGTGAATACGAATTAAAAAGCAAACTGTTCTGCCTAAAACTTTGGTCACAGTTCGGTTTAAGGGAACTCAAATGCATATGTGAATGCTGAGCGGACTGCACTCCAGCGCACGGTATTCTGGGTAAATACAATCAAAACAAACGTGCTAGTTTAGCACTAGCGAGCAAAATGACTCGTGGTCTTTTGCCAAAGACACAACCACTAAAATCTGATGCTAATCAATTTTGCATTGAAGTTGCATTTATTTTAAATGCAAAATGTGCCAACAAAAATAAATGGTGGTTCTGGATTGGCTGTTTTGCCAACACCAGCCAATAGCACGTCTGGTAGCATAGCCACTGACTATTTTAGCTTCCCAAGCTACTTTTTTTCTGGAATATTCCACAAAAACTGAACCGCAAATGGTCGATGTAAGGGCTACCTTTCACCGACTTCTTAATACAAATCAGAAAGCAAACAAAAAAAACAGACACTCTCCATCAGAAGACACAGAACTTCAGAATATTTAGAGACAGGATCAACAACACTTTCCACAACTCGTGTCTTTTGTGCATAGTTTCAGAACATAACAGTCACAGAAAACTTGACTAGAAACGACTATAAACAGCAGTTCAGACTGTTCTTTTCTATGAGAATATGTTTAGATTCCTCTATTTTTTAAAACATTTTTTTATTGTACAAACTGCTTTTGATTGGCTGTCATGCATTCAGGCTTGTTTTTGCCTGCTTCCTTTTGCTGATTGAAAGTTAGTGAATCACGGAGCGTTTTCTTTAATCACAATCACAAATCAGGAAAAGATAAATAAATACCTTTGGTCGAAAGCTCTCTTCCTCTCCATCTACTCTCCTCTCTTATTTCCTCTTCTTACTCACTCATTGACTTATTGCAGGCAGTGTTGCGTTTCCATGGTAACAGTCTCTACTCTGCGTCAATGGCTCGACTCCTTAAAATCTCGGCCGACTCCCTTTTTTTTTCTTTTTTTTCCCCGGAGAAACCGGCGGGAGCAGCAGGTCAGCAGCCGGAGTCTGATTGTTGGGATTTGAATCCGCCACTGGACTCTGTGATTGTATCATCCCAAAGTTTCTGTCTTTTGGGTTCAAACCGGTAAAGATGGGAAAGGAGGAGTCTGTGTGTGGAGGTGAAGTTGACTGACAAGGCGGGACACAGATGTGGATTTGCCGGACGGCGAGCGTGACTCAGCGCTCAACGCTTGACGGCAGCTGTGGCCTTCAGACGTGAAGGGGAAGAGGTGTGAAATTTGGTCTCTAATTGGTTTTCATTACACAACCATCCTGCCTCCGCCCAGTTACCCAAACCTTTGCTGTCCTTTTAACACAGTCGGTGACATTTCCGGCCTTTTTCTTATTTAATCAAATCTTCAGGTTCATCAGGAGACTTTTGCCAGTTAAAAAGTCATCAACTCTGTTGCTTATTTCTAATGAAATGGTGAAAACAAGGAGTTTTTCTTCAGTAGACTTCAGTTTGACTTCAGCTCATTGCGCCCATGATGTGTGACACTCTCCTGGATATTCCTGGACTCTTCCTGTGAGCGACTAATGATTGAAAATGACACACAATCAAAACCGGTGGCTAAAAGTAAAAACAGAAAGCTCAGCTTATTTAATTGTGTCACTGAGGAATAGTCTAAGTTTGTCTTACTCACACGGGGCTGTCACTGCAAAGCCCTCGGCACAATAAAGCAATATTTAGCACACTCCATCATTTCTGCGGGAAACTTTCATGTATTGCACAAATGACATGAAAGTTAAATAAGACGTATTAAGCAAACACCATGTTTTGCACATTTTTTGGCAATAATTTTATGTTTTTTGGTGGGT